GTCTGTGGAGGTCTATTGGCTAATTAAGTAGACCTGTGCATCCCAACGTTGGTACACTAGGTACCTACTTCTCTGCCATCTTGAATTGTTCTTCTTTAGCCTCGTTTGACAATCTTGTTTTTAAGCCTAAAGGAGGTAGCTTTTTGCTGTAAGATCATGGACTGCTGATGCAGCTAATGGTGACATCTCATCGCCGATCCATTAGCCGCCACTTATGGACCCCGGTAGTAGTCTACGGCTAACCCTACGTAAATCGTATGACGGTCTCCGACCACCGTAAGCGCGGGTCTGCAGACAGCGAGTAAGGGTAGCTCGCAGCCGACCAAAACCAGACCCGGGCGTACGTCGCGTAGCGTTCCGCGCGCACCTCAACAGTTGTAAATGATGTGATGACGCTTTTAAGGCCCAAAAAGGACATTGACGTAGATATATTAAAGACGGATATCATATAAGTCCTATTCCTAAGACAAACATGGCAACTGTCTAGGGGCCACGTAGCGCAGGGGTACCATGGGACGGGCGTGCTAAACCTGAACGCACGAGGCATGAAAGTTTTTTTAAGAATATCTATCTTAAAAAAAAATATGGGCGCCTATAGCGCACTTCCCTTAAGCGTTTACTAGTTTTAGATAATCTATCTCTGGATTATAGCAACCTGCATAGTCGTTGATTATTCGACTACATCAGCATAAAGAGCATTTTGCTTTGACCATAATAGTTTGGGGTTTTAATTAGTTAAGACTAGCAGAATGTCGGTCCTTGTGCGCCTTGGAGTTGTCAATTTGTCATGCTTACTCAAAGGTCACATTGGCGGTGGCACGGGCGCTGAGGATCGCTCGATTCCCTGTATTATGGTTGAGAATTTGAGATGGTCGGTGGTAGGTACTGTATGTGTCATGTTCGTGAACGTGAGCCGTCAATTAGGACTGGTCGGCTCCGGACTGTATGTTGTCCTAAGGTTATTTTCTTTTTATGATTGTCTGTATATAAGCGTTACACTGTTCTCACATAATCAAACCAACTAAATTTGAAAAGAGTAGCCATGGAGTTTCTTGCTCCTTCTTCTCCATCGGAATCTACACTTTGCAACGAGCTTAACTACTGACCGACAGACTGATACTTTATAAGTATCTTAAAATTTTTGTTTGACGTTCAAAAGTAAGTAATTAGCCTGTATGGGTCTATTTGAAATAAATGACTTTGACTTTTAATGCTTTTTAAGGCGACTTTTCTGCGAAAATTCAAAGCACCGTGCAATACACGATTGTCACGTGCGTAATATGTATGTTAATAGTTTTTCCTTTTAAACTTAGCTTAGCCACTAGTATGTTCCCTGTTTAGTCTTTACAAAAATACCTACCATTTCACATGAAGAACCAGCCTCACTCTCGAAGTCTCGAGGTTGTTTAAACGAAATGTTTAAACAACCTCGAGAGTCTCGGAGTATTCAGATATTCGGTTTTTTTTTTTGTGAGGGAAAAATCATCAGACGACTTCTCCTGCCCAGGGTCGGGCGGGAGGGAGTGTCAGACTCATACTGACTAAAAACCCCCCTGTTCCTGCTCTGGGCCGAGGTCGCGGTGCCTCATTGCGCTTACCCCGCAACCCCGGCTGAACATCAGCCGTTGGGCGGCGAACTACCCTTACTCGCCGTCCGCAGACCAGATATTCGGCTTCATCTCGATTTTTCTATTCACTATCGCAGACGCACAAAAATAAATTCATTGTTTCATTGCTCCACATACACACAGAACTGGAACAATTTGTGGATAACCCAGTGTAAGTTGACGAAACCTTACAGTACTTACCTATCCACGGCTTATGATTTCAAGAATTCTGCTATTAGTTACTGCGTGAATCACCCATATTAGCTGACAACGCAGCAAACAACCGAATCTATTGGTCTATATTGTGACAGAAAACTCTTTGACATCATGACGTCAATGGATGGTTGTCAAACGTTGCCTAGAGATTGTAAATTTCGTCGTGAATTGTCAACACGAGTTGGTGTAATCGGTAAGGCGTGTGGATTACACCACAGAGACCCCGAGTTCGAGTCCCGCCGTAAACATGAAGTTTTTTAGTTGATGGAAGTTTTGTCGAACTTTCTGGAATATTTGAGTGAAAGTAATGAAAAATTAAGGAGCGAGAAGGAGAATAAATAAAAATGAATAACGAAATTATTGGAAGGTTCTGGAGGCATGACGATCAAAAAGAATAACGAAATTGAATGTTCTAGAACCTGACCAGGGGTATATAAGCGGAACTGCGGCTCACCGCTGGCAGTTGAGTTCTAAGTCCAAAGCGATTCGGAAGAAAAGGAAGAAGTGAAAAGAAGAAAAGTGAGTGAAATAGTGAAGTACAGTGAAATAGTGAAGTGCAGTCAGTTAAGTGAGTTAAGTCAGCGTGAACAGTGAACGGCAAAGTTGTGTCAGTCGGCCGGACTCTGCTGGAGAGGAACGCCGATAACTTATCCGTATCCGTGGACGCTGTCACTTAAGTGCAATAGAAAGTCTGAAAACCGGTATTAGTGTTTAATTTCATCCAATCCCGTAACCCAAGCCCGCATAGTTAGGAACGTGACGTCAGGCACGTAACAATATTATGACTCTCATTTGCCCAATTGTTTCACGCAATACTTCATTTTTAGTATTTTAGAACTTCACTGCACAGTTGTCTTCACATTGTAGCGAAATCTATCGCACAACCATAACAACAGCACCAATCACGAGCAAGAGTCTACATCGTTGAACCAACTGTTTGTAAAAGGAATCTGTATGTGAAACTGATTTAAAAAGAGTAACCATGGAGTTTCTTGCTCGTTCTTCTCCATCGGAATCTACACTTTGGAACGAGCAAATAGCTTCACTAAGAGGACTGACCGACAGACTGACACGACATCTTCAAAATTTTGTTTTGACGTTCAAAAGTGCCTGTAAAGGCCTTATTGGAATAAATGATTTTTGACTTTGACTTTGACAGTTGGCGCAGTGGCTAGATTCTCGAACGGAACAACCCTGTGTGATGTGGTCGGCTCGATCGGAGTGATATCACGGCCTCACAGAAAACCGGGGGAAACAACCCAGCGTTGTGAGTAAGGTTACCGGAGGCTCTTTCCCACTACAATCCTAATCCCCAAAAGGTCGGCAACGCACTCGTAACACATCTGTTATTGCGTATGTCCATGGGCGGCGCTGATTGCTTACCATCAGGTTATAAGGATGCTCGCTTGCAGTCCTATCACATAAAAAAGGAAAATGCTCTTTAAGCAGACAATTTAGATTGTCGTTTTTTGAAAAACCTTTGCTTAAAGCTACCAAAAATACTAGCTACTGTAAAATGGGGTGAATAGAATTCGAGGGGTGAATAGATACTAGGAAAATTCGCCAACATAATTATATTGACCCCGTTTCGTGTATCTATGCACCCCGTTTTACGGTAGGTACTAAACTAGAAGAGGCGAGTAGTAATTAATGTCTCTTGTTTCTGTTTAGGTATAGTACGCTAAATGACTTCAGTTTTGAATAAAAAACATCGGAACAGAAAATAAATTCTTTATTTTAATAATATCCAATTTAATCAGATTAACGTAGTCGCTTCGAATAAAAAAGAATGTATTTCATACAATTGCAAGTTTCTTTTTCTAAAATTTTACAGTTTTGTCGGAGGTAAAAAAAATATCTTTTTTTATCTGTATTGAGATCGTAAAATACATCACAATGTTACATTGCCATTTTAAAATATTTTTAAAAAGTATTGCCATGTTTTTGAGGTGCTTACACCTATTTATTGCCATATCGACAGAAGTTGTACTAAAATTGAAATTAAATCTATATTAAAACATTTTAAATTTTGTATTGCCAGACGATGGTAAAAATAATTAAAAAATTTTGTAATCTGGCAACAGAGTTTGACTGGGAAACTTATGAAAACTTGAAGGTGTAAGTCGCCCTCATATAAAAAATTTCTAAAATTTTATATTTTACATCTAAAACTAGTTATTTATATACAATACACTGCATTGAGGTAACGACTCCTTTTCGAAGCCTTTGTACTGTAATTATATTTCCTGTCTAAGTTATTAATATTAATAATATCATCGTAGTGTCCAATAATTGATTGTCTAATTTTCTTTACGTATCTAAAAATCTATTATAACAATATCTTATATATGTAATAACTATTATTATTAACAATGGTTCTCGTTTATTGGCACGTCAATGACTCAAAATAATGTATGGAGTAGTTAGAGCCGCATCGATTACGGTACATCCAAGGCGTTAAAGGAATTTATATCTTAAGATATAGAGACTAACGCCCTTTTTCAATATCGTCGATCCAAAGCCACATATTAATATCACAAACTTTAACTTGACCGTATTTAAGATGCGGGATAACAAAGAGTTGGAACTGAAAATTTAGATAATAAATAAATAATACTTGAAGGATGGCAAGAATTTATAAATCCTGAAATTGGCAACACTGAGATGTCTTTTTTTAATTAATACACTATATACTTTTTAAATACTGATTTGAGTTCTGAACTCTTTTGTACAATAACTATTCCATACATAAAATACATTTTTTAAGACTAGGTTGAACACCTTCGCAGTGTTTAAAAACGTCGCTAAAATATTGAGCACGGTGAAACTAAATCCATTAGTTTAAAATATCGATATAATAATATCGATATGGGAACAACACTAGGTGTAAAAAAATAGCAACGTTTCTAAACAATACGGCCACCGTTATAACTGATACGATACTTGAATCGTCTCCGAATTTAAAAGTATATTTACGAAATATATTTTTATTGTGTTAGGTAGTTCTATTTAGTCGATTTTTCAATATTCGACTAATGTCATTTTAGATATTGTATTTAGTCGATGTTTTAATACTCGACTAAAGTAATTTTTAAGTTATTGCATTGAATTAAGTAGATTTTTTAAACTCGATTAAAATACATTTTTGGCGATTTATGAATGAATTATTGGTACAATTAAATCAATATTTCGTGAATATAGCTACAGACCCCCGGCGAATTATAATGATAGACTTACGGCCCCTAAGTACTATTTTCATAGAACTTTTATTGCGAAACACGATTTTGGCAGTATTTTTTTTAAACAGTTGTCATGTGTCAAATAGTGAATTTTCGCGCGTTTTTCTCAATTTCGACAGGTTATAGAGAGAAATTGTTTATTGTCTATTTCTGAATAATAACTATCGTGAGACATACTAAAAATAGTAAAAATAAGAATTTAATCACGTGAATTAAATGAGAAAAGCTGTACTAGTTCGAAGTCACAACGCGGAACTCTTATTAATGAAAAAAATTATGCGATTTTTTTTGATAAAAGGCATCAATACCTGACACATACAACTAAACAATGAGCTGCCACAGAAAATACTATTAAAATCGCAGCGTTTTACTAACTTAAGCACTTTCCTTATTCTAACGAAAAAAAAACATAAAAAATAAGTTCTAGACAAATGTATAACGGATACAAAAATAAGTTCGTAATCACATTAAAACTTGGCCTTTTGAGCCCATAGATTAGAGTCTATCCTAGACCAATAGGTCTAAATTCAGGCCCACACATCTGTGTTGACTAATTGTCTATAATTTGGCCTTAACATTAGAGTAATTTCAATTTGAAAAAGGCCAAGCAAGGCCCCTTTTTATTTAAATACTAAGAGTTAAGGCCTTAAGGCGGCATCTATCTTAATATTGCTTATATCTCGTTGTTTATGGCCTTAGACTCTGGTCTATGGCCTCAAATGTGGCTGAATGACATTTCCAAACGTCATAGTAAGGTAAACGGACCAAAAGCTGGCCAATGCTATCAGCAACTGGTACCTTTACCCTCTTTTAAGTAATATTGCAAAACTCCTTTTAAAAAATAACATTATTCATAAAATTTTAATGGATCGTTTTTGTAGTTTAACTACTCAAACACAAAATGAAAGGAATTAATTCGGTAACTACACGATAGATGGCACTTTTTAAAACTAGATTACACTCGGATGTGCGGCTCATTTCCTTTGCTCGTTGTTTTTATTTATTAGAAAAAAAAACAAACGGTTCGATGACGTTTCCTTGGGCGGCGCTTTCTGAGAATTGCAAAATTGACATTTGAGATATTCAAAATTTTTTTATAGATTGGTTATAGATTATGTAGTAGTTTAATACTTCATAGACATGGGACTCTAAATCAAATCATAACTGATGCAAAGGGAGTGGTATAAATATATAATTTATGCTGGAACGGAGTGATACCACGGTCTCACATTCACGTTCACTTAAATTATCGGTTGGCGCGATGGCTGGGCAACTGGAGTGATACCACGGCCTCACAGAAAACCGGCATGAAACAACCACAGCGTTGTGTTTCGCCGTGTGAGTTACCGGTCCCCCCAATCACAAACCTCAAATCCATGTATTTCCAAATCTCTAGTCCCTAAAGGTTTGGCAACGCACTCGTAACTCCTCTATTGTGTTGATGGCCGGCGCAGATTGCTTACCATCAGGTAATCCGTCTGCTCGTTTGCCAAACTATGACACAAAACAAAAAAAAAAAAAATGAAAAAAACTCACCCCATCATTTCGCGCTGGCCTTCTCAAGGAAATCCATTTTCAACCGTAGCTCGATTAAAAACAATTGCTTTTGCAACGAGAATATTTCTTCCTTCTGTCTCAGTTCCATATTTAAAATTTTCATTTTCGCTTCGTGCTCCCAGATGGCGTGCTGACGTTTCGCAGTGAAATATAAACGCTCCTCCTCGGTCGCCGTACCGCAGTCATGTTTGATCTGATCTTCAGATTTCTCTTGACGTTCATGTCCATTCTTCCTTTTCATTTCATCTAAATTACTCAAATTCAACGGCGTATTTGATAATTCATTTAGTTTCTGTATAAAGTTTTGCTGTATTCTCGCTTGTTCTATGGCTTGGAGGGGGTTGGTTAGAATGGGGATTGGAGGGATTGGGAGGGGTGTGAGAGGGAGTGGTTTGTGAGGGGGTGGAGTTGGGGAGGATTGGGGTATTATTTGTACTTGGGGCTCGAGGACGTTCGGCATCGTATCTTCGCTTTCGTTCGTACTTGATAGTCGACCGTTTGACATCTGGAATCAAAGAATAATGTTACTTCAAAAAAGGTTTGATAATAGTTTATTTTATGGACACCAACAAAAAATAGAGGTAAGGCAAGAACTGGTTAGATTAACCTCAAAAAACGGGTGAAATAAGGCACCGATCAGATGGCACGATTCATCGTTCCCTAGGTCTCTACGTTCCGATGGATTGCGTGGTATGATCGCTGTTAGGTTGTTAGTGTCCCTAAATCGAGCTATCGAAAGTGCCCAACCGCTCAAAGTCCTTAAGTACCGATAAAGCGTGCCGTCTGATTGCCGCTCAAGCGTCTTATATTTCTTTCTTATACAAATTAGTAGGCAAATTAACAAGTAAGAAAGTGCAAACAAAAAATAATTAGATTAGGTAACTTTTGGTAAAATAGAGTAAGCAATGGTAAGCAAGGATAAGTATGGGTACGTATAAGGAATATATGAATGTAGTTAATTGGATAAAGTCAGAATTAACATAAATAAATAAATTAAAAGTAACAAATGTGTGACAGTCTACATATTACATTGACTGGCCGACTTTGACTAGCATGTACTTGTCATCTAATCTTAGGTAATTAAGGGCATATGAATATTGAGGTTTAAAAAGTAAAGAAGAAAATCACTACATAGTATAAAACAAAGACGCTTCCTCTGCATCTATATTCCTATGTATGCTGTGTATAAAACTACGCACAGAACTTTTTGATGCGGTTTTTTTGATTGTTTTTTTTGAAGTTAGAGAGATTAAAGAGAAATGTTTATATCTACAATAACATTCACATACATAGGAAATTTTAATTTATAGTAGGATATGGTAATTTAGGACGGGTAAGGGTAATTTAGAGTAGGTAAGGGTATTTTAGGAAGTTCACAGTCACACATTCCCATCCACCATCCCCCTCCCCAATACCTAAATTTCCAAAACCTCTTCCAAAGGACTGGCAAGGCATTTGCAACCACTGAATTTAGCATAGGTAATTAACGGTAGGGAATGGTCATTTAGGATTAGTATTGGCAATTTAATGTAGGCAATGGTAATTTAGGGTAGGCAATGGTCATTTAGGCTAGGTAAGGGTTATTTAGCGTAGATAAGGGTAATTTAGCATAAGTAAGGGGTTTTCAAAACCTCTTATCCCAAAGGATCGGCAAAGCATTTGCAGCTACTCTGAATTTAGGATAGGTAATAGTGATTAAGGGTAGGTAATGGTAATTAAGGGTAAGCATGGGTAAACACAGTTAAGTAATAAGTAAGTAAGTGAGTGACGGTATACATAGTGTGCGGGACTCACGTTGACCGGCACGCAGTCGTCATCCTTCACGCTGTGGCCACCGTCCGCGCTCGTAGTCGGCTCGCCGTCCTCGTCTGAAATACAGATATGGAATTTTAATAACTTGACCGAATAAGCGTTATAGGTAAAACAGGAAATGAATAGACCCACAAAGCGTGGATGCTTTTTATGGGATCAGATGATCTGATGGTAAGCGAATAAATGGGGATTTGGTGCCCCCAAATTTAATCTATACTAATATTATAAAGAGGTAAAATTTGTAAGTTTGTATGTAGGGAGTAATCTTTAGAAGTAGTCTGTAAACCGTTACGCTACGATCAAATGGATCTGAGCAACGGGTGAAACCGCGCTAGAGAAGCTAGTTCAAAATAAATGCATATTTTTTGTGAGGGCAAAGTCGTCTATATCTCCTCTCGCTCTGGGACAGGGAGTGTCTGACTCTTAACCCATCGTTCCTTGTCCTGGTCTGAGGCCGCTGGACATTACTGTGATTGCATTCGCGGTGTCTAAGGTATTAACTGAGGACATATCTTGGGATAGGGTTGTATGACCTTCGTTTAAAAGCCGCAACTCATTTCAAACGCCTTTGGAGACCATGGGCGGTGCCGATTGCTTACCATCAGGTGATCCGTACCGTTTTCTCCACTATATCCAAATAAGAAATAATTTCCGTCGGCCTTGTCAGGCATGACTATGAAGTGAACCTACCTTTTACGTCCAAAGGGTGTATGTTCTGCCAGAGCATGCCGTCCAGCAGACCCGGCGGTTCCGACTGCGATTGCTGGAACAATACATCACTACATAGTATAAAACAAAGTCGCTTTCTCTGCCCCTATATCTATCCCTTTAAGACTAAGCAACGGATTTTGATGCGATTTTTTTTTAATAAATAGAATGAAACTTTATATATTACCTGATGGTAAGCAATCAGCGTCGCTCATGGACACCCGCAATGGAGGAGTTACGAGCGCGTTGTCGACCTTTTGAGGATTAGGGACTTGGAGATTTTGGCAAAGGGAACGGATTGGGGTAGGAGAAGGATTGGGCCTCCGGTAACCTCACTCACAAGGCGAAACACAACTCTGTCGTTATTTCACGCCGGTTTTCTATGAGGCTGTGGTATCACTCCCGTCGAGCCCATTTGTGCCGAAGCATGGCTCTCCCACATTTCAGAGAAATCTTTGGGAAAAGCATAATGTCGTGGTAACCCGGAGGTTAAGACGCCCGCTTCTCATGCATGAGGGTGAGGGTTCGAAACCTGGCAAGTATTCTAAGTGTATAATACTAAAAATGTGGGAGAGCCATGCTTCGGCACGAATGGGTCGGCTCGACCGGAGTGATACCACGGCCTCACAGAAAACCGGCGTGAAACAACCTCAGCGTTGTGTTTCGCCGTGTGAGTGAGGTTACCGGAGGCCCAATTCTTCCCCTCCCCCAATCCCTCATCAATCCCTAAATCCCTAATCCCTAAAAGGTCGGCAACGCACTCGTAACTCCTCCGTTGCGGGTGTCCATGGGCGGCGCTGATTGCCTACCATCAGGTAATCCGTCTGCTCGTTTGACGACCAATCACATTAAAAAAAAATCAGAGAGAGAAGAGGCCTTTGCTCAGCAGTGGGCACTTATAGGCTGATGATGATGATGATGATGTAGAATGATACTGCTTGTTGCATACCTGTGTATCGTGTGCGCGCATTTTACACTTTTTCTTGTAGTTCTCGTACCACATCTTGACCTGCGCGGGAGTGCGGGGACGGTCGCCTCCGCACCGTTTGTTCACCTCCTCGCATATTGTCGACCACACCAACTGAAATTATAGTTAAAACATTTTTTTAAGACTACCTACATATAAGTATATTAGTATAGTATTTAGTTATAAGTAAATTTAATTGTTATTAAAGATACTCACTGACCCCACAGTCAAACCATTACAACGGTTTTGTGGGGCTTAGCACATAAGATGGCTACCTTTGTGATATTAGATAAATAAAAAAAATATAAAAATAAAAAATAAGTATCATCGGCTGGTGCGGTGGCTGGGCAACTGGAGTGATACCACGGCCTCATAGAAAACCGGCGTGAAACAATCACAGCGTTGTGTTTCGCCGTGTGAGTGAGGTTACCGGATGCCCAATTCCCCTGCCTACCCCATCCCTTCCCAATCTTGAATATCCAAAACCAATATCCCTAAAATGCCGGCAACACACTCGTAACTCCTTTTTTGTTGCGGGTGTCTGCGCACTGATTGCTTACCATCAGGTAATCCGTTTGCTCGTTTGCCGAGCTACATCATTAAAAAAACACAGGTTTATTTATCCAGAGACGATTAAAACAAATAAATTAAGATTATAAACACGAAAAGTGTTTTAACAAAAAGGAACTCACGTAATTATACAACTGGTTCTGCGGATCCATTTTTTTTATTCTATTCGCTTAAAGAAAGAAATAAGATCGAGACTAGCTAGACCAATTTTTTTTATACTTTTTGCCGCTAAAAATTGACAGTTACAGTTTTTAATACCAACGCAATGAAAGCTATGGTAGCACGTTATACAGCCTAATAGCACTAAGGAGTTTTATTACTATTGTTTATGTTTAAAGTATAAAACTGCAAAATTTATAATATTATTGTAGAATGTAGTGAAATTAAAATACCATTCTAAATATAAATTAATATTAGACAGTTGGTCTGTAGGTATGCAATAAAATTAATAACAAAACTGGTATACATAGATAAAGTGTGATGTTATAGAAAAAATATGAGCATAGTTATGCAACCTCTTTTTAATTTTATTTTTTGCCATTAGTTTTTTTTTTTTGTAAAGGCAGGCAATCAGGCATCGATATTTTTTTAAGAAGTAGTTATAATAATTATGTATGCATTTTAAGTATGGTCTTCTACTTTTTCATAAAAAAAATGTATTATATTTGATAACAACGAGCAAATCTGCGAAATTTAACTAGTAAACATAATTGCGCATTAGTAAATGCAAGATAGTCGATTTTATGCAAGGTAAGCAATCATACACATGGCAGTAACTAAACACTGCTTGTCTATGGTTACTGCTGAGTTGACAGTTAGCCTCGTGTCGTATGTTTATAAAAATATTATTTAATTATTATTAGACTAAGCTCAACCTTGATTGATGCGACATTTAATCGACAGAGATAATTCCAAGATTAGTAGTGATTGTTTTTTCATAGTAAGATAATTTGTACCTAGTTTCTTTGAATGCTACTGATCACTTCATTGTATAAAACTAGGTCGCTTTACCTGTCCCTATATCCCTATGTATGCTTAAATCTTTAAAACTACGCTATGGATTTTAGTAAGGTTTTTTAATAGTTTTTTTTTTTTTTGGTAAGGGGAAAATCACCAAATGACTTCTCCCCCCTTCAGTCGGTCGGGAGGGAGTGCCAGACTCTAACTAGTAACTAAAACCCCCTCCTGCTAAGTACGAGTCGGAGCATGGACATGCTCATTAACAATCATGCAAATAGTTTATGAACTTATAAATTAGATTTCCTTTTTTCTGAGCATCAGGACTTTGGCCTTGGTATGTAAATAAACTTAGGAAGAAGTCGGACACGATTTCTTCTAATTTCTAATAGTCAGTTTCGATCCAAACCTATTTCAATTACAAGTGTATTAAGGTTGTGGGTGGGCATGCCCATCGTGCCCACAACGGTGGATCCGCCCTTGGCACTACATGAGCTGCTGTTTACATGTGAACATTAGCTCATGACGATACCTAAGTACGCGTGTCGCCTGGACAGTCTACGCTACATCCTTGTTGACTGGACAATCTCTGCACTACATGAGCTGCTGTTTACATGTGAACAATGTGGCTCATGACGATACCTAAGTACGCGTGTCGCCTGGACAGTTATTCTTGTTGACTGGACATCTATACTAGAAGAACTATTGTTTAAACATAATTTAAAGGATTTCGATTAACTCCTGAACCACCACGGAAGCAAAACATAGAGATAATTCCGTGATATTCCGTTAACCACTTACTGTATGATTATGATAACGATAAAGCTTACGCAACCTGATGTGATATGATAGTGTTATCGTAATACCGTATCACATAACAATACTGATTATTTTGTAAGGAATTTAATTAGTTTGGTCAGCGGTTAAGATATGGGAATTGTGATATTGATTTTAAGGTCAACATTGTGGCAGTGAACCAGGACTATTTTATTTTTCATGGTGACGAATGTAATGTATGTAGGTATGTGACCTGTACAAAGGGAGTGATAGATGACTAAATGCATGGTTGGCGCGCAACGTGTCGCGGGTTCGATTCCCGCACGGAACAACTCTTTGTGTGATCCACAGATTGTTGTTTCGGGTCTAGGTGTGATTTGCATGTGAAATTGTATGTTTATAAACGCATCTACGACACAGGAGAAAATCTTAGTGTGGGGCAACATTTTTCATTGTTAAACAAAAATTAAAAAGATGAAAGTTCTAGGGACCTTTAGGGTCACGAGTGCGTAGAGTGGGGTAGAGACCTAGACGCCTATTAGGTTCCCCCTAATGGGGGGGGGGGGGGATCCGGATCCAGATCTCCGGCCATCGTAAGCGTAGATCTGCGGATGGCAAGCAAAGGTAGCTCGTTTCCTATCACTGACATTAAGCACCATATGGACGGCTGGAAAGGTATTAATTGGCAAAAATGGAAATACCGATCGCTTAAGTTGTATCAGCTACTTTTTTTAATGATACAAGCCCGTTACAACCTGTCGAAACCGCTACAAATCTTGTACACCATGATCTGCAGTAGATACAACCATGTAAACACCGAAATTCATTATTATGTTTTCGGCTTACTCACGTAATAATTTGACGAGATACTCGACTAGTTTCAAGCTATGCTAGAGGCCCATATTCATGAGCAGCATTCCGCGACACGCGACGCGGCGACTGTCGCGCTGCCAGTAGCAGCTTGTAAGTACGTGAGTAAGCCGAAAACATAATAATTAATTTAGGAATGTCTCACGAAAGTTATATTAAAAACACCGAAACATTGAAGTCCGGCGCGTCCTAACATGAATGACTGTCTTGGATCCCGCAACTAAATAAATTAGCAGATATAATCAGAGGAGAAGAAAGAAAAAAACCTGTGGATAACTTGTTTTTTTTTTATGTGGTATCTCTGCAAACGAGCACACGGATTACCTGATGGTAAGCAATCGTGCTGAGTGCCCGTGGATACCCGCAACAACAGAGAAATTATACGTGTCTTGCCGACCTTTTTGGACATTTAGGGATTGGAAGGATTGGGCCTCCTTTGTCACGCTGGTTTTCTGTGGTACCGTGGTATACTCCGATTCAATCGAAGCATGGCTCTCCTATACCTAATGGGTGATGAAGGAAGGTGTAGGTACCTGTTTGCTCCTGTTAGTAGCGTTGTTGGAGCGGCCCTGTCGCAGTACATCCCTGTGGTGGGCGATCAGCTCGAGAACTGTCCGCTTCTCCAGCTCGGTAAAGTTCTTGGACCGCTCCTTGTGGCCGCGGCGAGCGCGGAACGATGTGGCCGTGTTACGTGTTGACATATCACTCTGGTGACAAAGAGAATGAGATTTTAAGTTAATTTAGTGTAGAGTTCATTTTACTATGTAGGTACATTAACTATCGAACTTTCATATACATAAAACGAGTCACCCCGTACGATAGATGTTGGCTAATTTTCCTACTATTTATTCACCTTTCTTCTAAGTCTATTCACCCCATTTTACCGTACTTGAAAAAAATATGTTTTTTACGTCACTACGTACCAACATGTATGTTTTTTGTGAGGGGCAAATCATCAAATGACTTCTCCCGCCCAGGGCCAGGCAGGACGGAGTGTCAGACTCTTACTGACTAAAAACCCCCCTGTTCCTTATCCTGCTCTGGGCCGAGGTCGCGGTGCCTCATTGCGTTTACCCCGCAACCCCGGCTGAACATCAGCCCTATAGGGCCTCGTCTGTGGTGGTCTATATTGGCTCTTTGAGGCGCGCGCGGAATGCTACGCGCCGTATGCTCGGGCCTGGTTCTGGTCGGGCGGCGAGCTGCCCTTACTCGCAGACCCGCGCTTACGGTGGCCGGAGATCGTCCCTTAATCCCCGACGCCCGTACAAACATGTATGTTTAAGTGAAGCAAAGACAAATACGTCGTGACTCGTGCATTACACCAACAACGAAAGGGTCGCTATTTCCGATCTTCCCATATACTTTTTAGTAATTTACTTCATACAAAATCTTCTACTAAAAATAACACACAAAGTATTGGTAATATTGGTCCAGTCGTTGTTGAGTTCTGCGCTTACCAACATATTTTCCTATTCATTTTATGTTTAGACTAGCTTAAGCCTGCGGCTTCGCCCGATTACGAAAGTAATATATAAAAAATCTGCGTTTAAAGCGATGGCTGGACTAAAATACCAGTGTATATAAACAAATAAATAATAGCAATATCAGTGAACGAATTCTGGGAATCCGCCCAGCTGTTTCAAAGATTATTCCCTACATACAAACTTCAAAATGTTACCTCTTTTTTAATATTTACTTTACTGTAGACTTTTACTCTGTGACTAGAATAACCATGCAAAAAATCAAGGCACAGTAAGCAAGCAAGAAAACAAGCGATCCTGCTTAATACTATCAATTAACACCGATTAGACAGATCTCATTTCCGCATGAGAATCAGAGCGGTGATTAAAAATTCACATGTTTTTATTCCATTAACCTAAAGAAGTTTCCATTAAGAAAATAAATAAAAATAAATTATACCTATATTATCTGTATTACAGTTACGTTTTCAATGTCCGGTTATGTAGGTACAGTAAGCGGCAAAAATTTTCGTAGACATAATAGGTACACTAGCTTTTTCCCGCGACTCCGTTCGCGTGGAACAGTGACTTCCTGCAGATTTTTGGTATAAAAACTATCCTGTGTCCTTTCTCGAGTCTACATTATAGAGTAAGTGTTATTATACATATAAACCTTCCTCTTCAATAAAACCGCATCAAAATCTGTTGTGTAGTTTTGAAGATTTAAGCTTTCATATGGATATAGAGACCGAGAAAGCGACTTTGTCTTATACTATCGGAATCAAAAGTGTCTTATGTACAGAAGAAGATAATTAAAACAAGAAGTTTATATAATTAAATGCACAGTGAAGTTAAGGTAAACAATAATGCCAAAAGAAAATATGATGAGTTATAAAAATGTTTGTTTGTTTCATTGAACGCGATAATCGCAGGAACGACTGTTTCGATTTTAATAATTAATTAATTTTGTGTTGGATAGTCCATTTATGTGGAAAAGCTTATAGGCTTAGGCTATAAAATGTTAAGCTGAAACTTATAGAAACCGGATGACGATTGAAAACACGCGATAGCAGCTAGTGTCTTTGACCCTTTACATAAAAAAATATATATGTAAAGCTGAAATAATTTTGAAGATTTTTGATAAATATAAATACTAAAAGAAAAAACATCTATACACCCTTACTACCTCTAAGCATTAATAGCTTTTTATTATATATAAAGTAGGTACTTACGGTTCAAAAGCATAACAAGAAAAAAAAACAATTCTTTTAATCTAGAAAAGTTACGATACGAATCGTTTTAGTAATAACAATAATAATAAATATATGTTAACATCTATAAAGAATGTTCAGGAACTCGCGCGACTAGAATACTACATAAGAACATGGCTATTCGACAAGATAGATACCTAATTAGCATAGAATCTATAGTTTTTATATTATATCTATACTAATAACTATTACAATTGGTTACACTAGCAGAATGTCGGTCCTTATAACAGCTTGGAGTTGTCATGCTCACTCAAAGGTCACACTGGCGGTGGCATGGGCGCTGGATCGCTTAATTCCCTATAATATAGTTGAGTTGGGCGATGCTGGTGTACGTGTCATGTTCGTGAACGGGCGCCGTCAGTTGGGACTGGTCAGCTCCAGACTGTCTATTGTCCTTAAGGTTACTTTCTTTTTATATTTGAATAAATATTAGTGTTACAGTGTTTTCACATAATTGAACCAACTGTTTGTAAAAGAAATCTGTATGTGAAACTGATTTAAAAAGAGTAACCATGGAGTTTCTTGATCGTTCTTCTCCATCGGAATCTACACTTTGGAACGAGCAAATAGCTTCACTGACGCCCGGTTTCCGAAAGGCCGATCAATGTTAAAATCAATTTAATCTCTTGTCAAGTCACCTGATTGGTTGACTGAATTATCAACAACCAATCGGATGACTTGACAAGAGATTTAACAGGAGATTAGTTAATTTTAGCGTTGACAAGCCTTTCAGAAACCGGGCGTAAGAGGACTGACCGACAGCCTTACACTATATCTTCAAAATTTTGTAGTGGTAGTCGTAGTGGCCGCTTTTCGTGAATGAGATTAGAGGTTCGAAACCTGGCAAATACCAATTTGAGTTTTCCGGATTATATGTACTTATATGATTATTTAGACACCACTGACATACGGTGAAGGAAAACGTCATGAGGAAACCTGGACTTATAAACTTTTAATTATAAGTTTGATATTGCTAATCCGCCTTGAGCAAGCATGGTGATTAGTGGTCAAGCCTTCTCCGTGTGAGAAGAGGCTTTTGCTCAGGGCACTTATAGGCCGATGATGATGAATACTAGGGTAAAAAGAACCTTGAGAAATATTTCACCCAGATTCGTTCACTACTGTTTCCGTGGAAAAGTAATAAACATCCATCCGTACTTACAAACTTTCGCTTATAAAGTTAAAGAGTTTGTTTTTTGTAACGCGCTCATCTCAGGAAATACTGGTTCGATTTTGAAAAAATATTTTGTGTGTCCACCGAGGAAAGATATTAGAGCCGAGTAGCGAGTCAAACCGAAAAGGAATAGTTAGATCAAACAGGTTTTTTTATAAAGTGGAATGTTGAAATGTATTAAAATTTTTAATGTTTTATTTATCTAATAACTAACTGTACTTGGGCTTTGCAAATATTTTGAATAGCAAATATAAAATTTATATATACATGTTTGATATTAAGGATTCTATTTCACTTTGCGTTAGGGTTGTCAGTTAAAAAACTATATCTTTGGAAGGAAAAAAGGATGTCACTGAATGGGGCAAGGATTGAGCCTCGGGTTTTTTGTCCCACCCAGGGTAGGGCGAAGGGAGTGTCAGACTTTTACTGAATAAAAACCTGTTTCTTCTCCTGCAATGCGCCGAGGCCGCGGTGCCTCATTGCGCTTACCCCACAACCCCGGCTGAACATCAGCCCTATAGGGCTCCGTCGAGGCGCGCGGCACGCTACGTGCTGTACGCTCGAGTATTTTTTTTTTGTGAGGAGAAAATCATCAAATAGCTTCTTGTGCCTCCACTCTGCCATGAGATCTCGCCGGAGCTCATTCCGCCACGCACTAATTTGGTCTGGATGTGGTCGGGCGGCGAGCTACCCTTACTCGCCGTCCGGTAACTTTACTCACACGGCGAAACACAACGGTGTGGTTGTTTCACGCCGGTTTTCTGTGAGGGCCACATATTATTTCGTTCGAGCCGACTATCCCACACTTGAGTTAATGATGCGTTGTTTTCATGGTATATGGACGGGACATGAGCAGACTGATATCAGGTAATGGTATGGCCTTTTGGGGTTGTTAGGGATCGTTGTTTCACGGCATTTTTGTCTGAGGCCATAGTACACTCTGGCCTAGCAGCCGAAGCATGGCTTTCATATCTAGACGTTTAATGATTTGAACATTTCATATTTTTAATGAAACTCACGATGAAATTGTTAATTAATCTTTGCAAATTGGCCACAAACAGGACTTTTATACGTCAACATCATATAAAAAGTCTAGATAAAGCAGAAATTTTCTATCTGACTACTCTTAGAAGAAAAGCCGAAAACAGCTCAGAAGTGACAGTGTCCTTTAAAACCTAGACAAATGTAAAAATAATGTAGAACCGAGAAGCAAGTTCATTCTGTAGTGGACTTTTGAGGAAAGAACCACACCAGTTTAAATGGACCTGTTCAATTTAGTTTGATTAAAACATTTTTATTGTATTACTAGCTTTTGCTCGCGACTCCGCTCGCGTGGAATAATGACTTCCTGCAGATTTTTGGTATCAAAATTATCCTATGTCCTTTCTCGAGTTCCAAACTATGTCTGTACCTAATTTCACAGGAATCGGTTCAGTAGTTTAGGCGTGAAGAAAAGACAGACAGGCTGACAGGGTTACTTTCGCATACAGCTTATTCCTAAGAGCTCTTCGGCGTTTCACACCGTGGTCCGAACCACTCGTGGTCCGAAACGACGAAACACCCTTATAATATTAGTTTGTATTTGGATTTATTTTAATTATTATGTTTTAGGCTTATTCGGTAGCGAGTAGCCGAAAACATAATAATTAATTTGGATTTATTTAATACGGACAACCCTGCTATAGGCTGGTTGTATTATAATGGGTTCAACTAGAAATTGGGCCTCGTTCGACCAGTTTTCTGATTTCTAATAAGTTTTATGTCTTGAACTTGTACATTTGTTGTTGTGATTAAATATTTAT